AGTGTCCAATCAAATTAGGAAATTTAAAATTACCCGAAATTAAGCACCCCTATAATAAAAAAAGGGTGCTTAATTTCAGAAGTATACGGTAATATGTTCTGAATTCCCAAAAGATACTTTCACAATTTCAAAAATGCTCAAGACACTAATAAATCTAGAAAAAAAACAAAAGCATTAGTAATATGTTAACAGAATAGAAAACAAGAACAATGAATAAACGATGAAATAATATGTCCCAGATTCCCAAATAATATGTCTACAATTTCAAAGAAGCACAAAGACGCACTAATAAACCTAAAAGAAAAAGAAACATTAGTATGTGTTTACAAACTAGAAAACAAGAAAAATGAATAAACAAAGTAATACGTCCCAAATTCCCAAGATATACTCCTTACAATTCCCAAAGAAGTTCAAAGCGTCCTAAAAAACCTAGAAAAAAAAAAAAAAAAGCATTATTAACATATTCATAAACCAGAAACAAGATCAAATAAACGAAGTATTGTAATACACCCCAAATTCTCAAGACATACGCCCCACAACTCCCAAGAGAGTTCAAATTGTTCTAAAAAAACTTAGAAAAAAAGAACAAGCGTTAGTAGCACATCCAAAAAACAAGAAACAAAAAGCCAAATAACAAATACAAGAAATATACTCACCCAAACCAGAGGTCCAATTCCAAAATGAAGACAAGAGAAATCACCAAAAAAGAAAAGAATGTCAATACAAGCAAGAAACAAAAAGCCAAATAACAAAAACAAGAAATATACTCACTCAAACTAGAAGCCCAATTCCAAAACGAAATGAAATTCACTAAAAAAAAAAGAAGAGCATTAGTACAAGCGAGAAAACAAAAAGCCAAATATTCTACCCAGACTAAAAGCCCAATTCCAGACGAAGAAAGCGAAATTCACCAAAAAAGAACATTAATACAAGCAAAAAAACAAAAAGCCAAATAACATATACAAGAAATATACTCACCCAAACCAAAAGCCCAAAATACGACAACACCAATAAAACAACTCCAAAGAACAACAACACCAGCGAAACAACGGCTCCAAAAAATGACAATACCAGAGAAAACGTAGCACCAAAGCATGATGACACTAACAAAACGATGACTTCACCGAATGATGACACCAGCAAAACAACGGCTCCAAAATGCGACGATACCAATGAAATGACGACTCCAAAAAGCAACGGCACCAGAGAAACGATGGCTTCAAAAAACAACGATACCAAGGAAAAGATAAAAAAATAAGAAATCAGATAAAATAAAATAAATAAAATCTATTACTTATCTTGCAGATCTGTATAATCGGGATGTAAACAAATCAATCGATGTCATATCCCACACACGGTGCACTCCGCACCAAAAATAATTATCCAAATTTTAAAATAAAATTTTTTTTAAAGAATATATTTAAATTTTAATTTTAATACTATATACAGTCAGACCTCCTTAAATGCACCCTCTCTAAATGTAGCACCCTCCTAAATGCATGATATAAGTCCAGGCCCATAGTGGGACTTATAGATAAATGCACATTTTTTATTCTGTAAGTGCATGTTAATTGTCTGGCCTACTTATAAAAACTCCCTCCATAAATGCATCCATGTGATTATTAACCAATCAAATCCATTATTCTAGACAATTAAAAACATATTTATCACGTAATAATAGTCACATAGTAATTTTATTAGTGTTCTTTAATTGCAACTCTCCCTAAATATATGCTCTAAAGCTGGTCTTGATGATGTGCATTTAGAGAGATCTGACTATAGTCTAAATTTAATGTGACAAATATTAATTAGATAAAAAGTGCAATTTTCAAATTAGGTGAAAAGTACAGTAGTTACCAAAAGTGATATCTAAAGATCAATTTTATAATAAAATATATATAAAATTCTTTTAGATGATTTTTTTATTAGAAAAAAACTTAACTTTTTTGGTGCTAGTTAGGGATGGGATCAGCTTGTAGTAAGTCGGCTTAGCCGTAGCTTTTGAGCTGAGCTAATGAAGCCAAATCAAGCCGGCTCAAGCTGAGTTACATATACGCATACTATGCTACAGTTCACGCTATTTCACCAAAAACCATATCCACTGATAATTCCTTTTTCAACACACTCACTTCGACACAACTCTCTAACAATCAATCCTTCAACAATCATCTCCCCAGCACAATCACTTCTCTAACCAATTCCCCCAACAATCTCTTCCTAGACACTAGCCTCCCTAATAACCAGTCTTTCACTATCATCACCACTTCCTCAACAGCTAGTCTTGCTTATAATTGTTGGTAGAATTAAATTTGTAAATTAATATGGCAACGGCATGCGTCATATTTTTTGCCATAATTCTTTTATGCTGCAATGCCGTAATGACGCAATAACGCAATGCTGTAATGCCATAATATCTACCAACTATAGTTGCCCAATAAAATTGTTACAGCAGATCCTTAATTTTGGCCATTGATCTGTAAAATTTTGGTCCGC